ACCATTAGCAAATAGGGAAATGCAGAATAACCCCCCCCCCAGACACCACTGCACCCCTATCAGAATGACTAAAATAAAAAATAATGACAACACCAAATGTTGGCAAAGATGTAGAGAAACTGGATCACTCGTACATCGCTGATGGGAATGTAAAATGGTACAGTCACTATGAAAAACAGTTAAAAAAAACCTAAACATACAATTACCATATGACCCAATAATTACACTTCTGGGCATTTATCCCAGAGAAATGAAAACATGTTCACACAAAACCAGTACCCAAGTAAGTATAGCTGCTTTATTCACAAGAGCCCCAAACTGGAAACAACCCAGATGTCTCTCAATGAGTGAGTGGTTAAACCAACTATGGTACCTTCACACCATGGAATTCTACTCAGCAATAAAAAACAAAAGCAAAACACAACAGACATGCGCTCACACACACACACACACACACACACGGATGATTTTCCAGAAAATTATGTTGAATGAAAAAAGCCAATCCCAAAAGGTTACGTACCATATGATCCTAATTATATAACATTCTTGAGATGACAAAAATCATAGAAATGGAGAGCAGATCAGCGGTTGCCGAGGGTTAAGGAGAGGGCAGGAGGGGAGGGAAGCAGGTGTGTGACCCTAAAAGGGCCACATGTGAGGGACTCATGGTATGGAAATGTCATTCACCCATTTGGACAGTGTCCTGCAGTTTTGCAGCAGCACCGCCGCGAGAAACCGGGTAGAGAGCACGGCAGATCTCCCTGCGTTACTGCTTAAACTCCACGTGAATCTACTGTTATCTCAAAATGAACAGCACAAAAGATAAGAGAATGACTGTGGTAGAAAAAGGGGTTGAACGTAAGAAACGGTAAAGGCATTTATGATGGAGAGAATGAGTGAGAAAGAGACAAGCATGGAGGAAAAAAAGAACCAAACCAAGAAAGAGAGAGAGAAAGGAACTAAAATGGAACCGAGAACGAGTGTGAATGCGAGAGGGGTCGGCCCCAGAGACGAAGAAAAGGATGGGGGCGTCCCTGTGCCCCCCGCCCCCGTGCCGTGTCTGGGCCTGTGCTCCCTGGTCCCCAGCCCACTCCCGGGGCCTCTTCCACCGTCCCCAGCAAATCTGTCTCTCCAGCCCCCGTAGGAAGCCTTCCCTGCTTCTCCCTGGCAGCCTTCCTTCGCCCCTGTGGCCCTGGGCATGTCCCCAGGGCGCACTGCCGTCCCCAGGCAGCTCCAGGGCAGGCCGGCGTGGCGTGGAGCGAGCCAGTCCTCCATCTCAGGTGCCCGCACAAGGCCTGGCCTGAGGTAGGAGCTCCCTACACATCTCTGAAGAAATACGAGTGACTTTTTGACTTCATCGGACCAAGGGCACTTGGCAAAGCCACTGAGGAACCCAGACTGGGACTCGGGCTGGGGCGGCCTTTGTGCCCTGACACCCTGCGGGGTTGCTGTGCTATGTGGTCCAGGTTGGCTGGCTGTCCTGGTGGCCTTTGTTTGTAAGGGTTCCTCCCGGGACAGAGGCAGCCCCCAGGCTCTCACCACCCAGTGCTCAGGTGCAAGCCTGCTGGCGGGGCAGAGTGGGGCAGGGGATCGGGGGCAGGCAGACTCAGAGGCCGAGACACGGTCAGCCCCACACAGCACCTGAAGTCCTCCTGGCTCTCACTCCTCCTCTGCCCCTCCTCCCTCAAGAAGTACTGAGGGATGACGGCACTGGGGCCACCCTGATCGTCAGGCTGGGAGCCGGCAGTGGGAGAGAAGGTGCGGGGGTGGGCAGCACACCCGGCCACAAACCACCGAGTCGGGGGTCAGAAGGAGGCAGAGATGGTGAGCGTGCTCTCCCCGCCCGTGTCTCCTCACCCCCACCCGCTCTCATCCCCCAGACTCTCTGGCCACCATATGGGTTGATCCCTGGTCACCAGGAAGTGCCGTCGCCACCTGCCAACTGGTCAGATTACCCTGACCTTTGCCCCGCTGCCTGCTCTGGTCTGGAACGTTAATGGAACCTGACATTAAGCATCAGCCAGGATCTCCAGGGTCACGTGTGAAACAAAGGTTTGGCTCCAACATTTAGCTCAACACGGCTCTTGGCAAGGGTTACTGCCGCCCGAGCTCTGTTGACTAGAATAGCTCCCTTATCAGAATGTCAAGGTAGGAGGAACTAGATTAGCTGCTGCTGCTCGGGCAGGGCCGGCCAGGCCTGCTCACTCCCGCTGGCAGGGTCAGGAAGGGGGAGCTGTCTGCTCCGTTTTCATTGTTTCAGAGAGAGCTGCTCCACAGGTCTGTTTGAGAAATGCACTCAGGTATTTTTATTTAAATGCATACTGTAATCCTTTGTGTTTGAACTCCTATTCTCTTTATCTTGTCTTTAGGAAAAACAGAAAAATTCCTCCATGGCTGACACTGACCTATTAGGCATCTGCGGACTGAATGCTGCCAACTGGCAAAGCCATGGCCCCCACACAGTAACAACTGTAATAAAAACAGCTCGCTTGAGCTGCCTAAAGATTCCTGGACCCTCTGCTCTCTCTCGGCCCTCCCTCCGCCCCCAGCCTCAGTAGTCAGCATTGGCTCAGAGCACGCCAGCTTCTGCTAACATTCTCCTGCATGGGAAGCGTAACACTCCCCAACAGTCGCTTTCCAAGGTTTTCAAGAATTAATTATTTCTGGCACATGATAACAAATGAACAGTTGCTGAATGAATTTAAAAACAAAAACCAGAAACAGATGCAGTTTTTAAGCACCTCAACGCACAGCACACCTGTTCGGGCTTTGCGCAAGAACGGACCAAGAATGAGGTCACGTTAAGAGCGTGCGCGAGCTGGAGGACAGACACTCCGGTGGTTTCTTCCCTCCCACGGGTCAGCTTCCTCGCAGATGACTAGAGTGGCCTCAAGAGTCTCCCAAATTCCTGGACAAGAAACCCGGTCAGGAACTCACAGAGAGCCCAAAGGGATCTTGTGACGCAGCCTGCACCAGGGACGGCGAGGCCAGGGAGCGCTGTGACAGCGCCACACTGATGTTTCCCCCGGACCCACGCAGGGAAGCACTTTGCACCCCGCGGGGCGTGCCAGCAGCCTCCAGGGAGCCCATGGTGAGGCGTCCCACTGAGGCCTGGCTTCATCCCAGAGAAGGCAGCTGAGCTCTGGGGACAGCCCTGGGCAGTGAGCAGCATGCCCCATCTCCTCCCCCGCCCAGTTCAGCTTCGGCCTCACCCAGTCCTCCGGTTGACCTTCTCCTGAATGCGGGCAGGCTGCTTAAATGAGCATCGCTGCCTTGAGGAAAGCCAGACGGTCACAGCAGCTTTTGGAGAGGCCAGGAAACACCCTGCCCGAGTGGCTGGGCCCCTCTGTGTTGGAGAGCTCGACGGTGGGTTAGCACGTTGCTCCAGGGACGAGCACTGTGCTGTGTGGAATGTCCAGGCAGGTGCTATGTGACATCTCCTGTCTTTCCATGGTGGCCCTGCCCCTGTTCTTCAGGAAGCACACAGCCTGCTCCCCAGGACTCCCAGCGAAGGCCAGACCTCGTGCCTCTAAGCAGAGCGATGCCATCTCAGGGACCGGACAGCCGAAATCACAGTCAAGCTGACCACGGTTTCCATGTCGGCCCCAGCGCCGTCTCTTCTCTGCAAGCCTTGCACACCCGGCTGCTCATTTAACCCGCAGAGTCTAGCACGCCTGGGGGCCCCATTCAGCCCGCTGATGGGATGTGCCCGTGGGGTTGAGGGAAGGGCACGGATTTGGGAAGGCCGGAACACCTTTCAGGGTTAGCTTTCGATGGTAGAAAGACCCTGGGTTTGAAGCCGGAGGACAAGGGTTTCAAAGATAACAGCCCTGCTGCAGAGCGCTGGGAACTGTTAGCTTCAGTCTCTTCTATAAAAAAGGAGGAACAAGCTCTGCCCCACAGGACTGGTGTCAGGATCAACTCACGTAAACGCACCTAGCTCAGCACCTTGGGGCCATCGACGTTAGCCTCTCTCTCACATGGAAAAGCGCTTTGTGAACCAGAAAGCCCATAACGAGTGGCTTGTTTTGGAGTCAGACCCAGGTGAGAATCCCACTGCGAAAGCTGTGTACCTAAGGCAAGTTACACAGCCTCTCTGGGCTGCCATTTCTCACCTGTAGAATGAGGCTGGTAATCTCTTGCTTCATTAAAAGGATTTAAAGAGAGTAAGTACTTGACAAGCATGCACGGTCCTGTTGGCCTTTGGTGTTTGAAGGGGCTCTTGGAGCAGGTGCTGGGTTAGCCTCGTCCACCCCCATGTTTGGGGGAGGCCTTTGAACTTTGGGGCCAGCACTGACCTGAGGCCTTCCACAGTGCCTTGGGCAGGGAAGGCACAGACAGAACCGGGGGGTCCGGCACCCTCCAGGCAGATACATGGGTTTGAGGAAAAGGGGAATAGTGACAGTGCCACCGTATTCCCTAGCCCTGGCCTGGGAACCTTGACCCCTGGCGTCTCTGAGCAGTTTGGAAGATATTTAAAAAGAGACAGGGAAATATGCAGAAAGTGACTCCGGCAGTGAGGAGGGCAGAAATAACAAGGCTGTGGCTCCAATTTGGCCACACTTAAAAGAGAAAGCAAGCCCGAGCTGGGGACAGAAGGCTGAGGGAGTGGCTGCGCCCACCGGGCCCTCTCTGCCCCCATTTGGAGGTGGAGTTGCTAGGGAGGGCGACAGTGTCCTCCCCACCTCCCCCATCCTGCCCACTGCTGAGATTTCGGGCACCCCTGGGCATCCCTGCTCTCTGCAGAAGGGGCGATGACCGCAGCTCTCCCACAGGCTGGCCTCCCCGCCCAGGGCAGCCTGCAGCTGCCGAGAGCTCCGGTCTCCCCGCTGAACCAGGACCCGCCCAAGCCTCTCCTGAAGCCCCCTGGCTCTCACCCCCGCCCGTTCCCGGCGAAAGCCTGTTGCCAGCCGCAACGGACACCTGAGTGTGGGTCGGGCGTCCTGCCTTCCAGAACCGCGAGCTGGGGACGAACGGAGGAGGAAAAGAAGACAACTTACTTGTTGAGAGCAGAGCTTCCAAGTCCCAGCGATGCTAACTTCTGGGGGGTCCCTTAGAGACCGCGCAGCGCTGGCTCAGGGCTTCCGAGGGGACTCTCCAGCCCCGGCCACTACCCTGCCGCTAGCTGTAGTCTAGAGCCTCCCCCGCCGTGGGGTCCTGCGGGCAGCGGTGTCTAAGCCATCCTGTCCCTTCACTCTCCGGCCCCTTCGGTCACTCCCTTCTCTAGCGGGAGCAGCGGAGGCCGGCTGGAGCGCGCGCGCGCTCTCTCTCTCTCTCTCCCGCCCTTACTCCCCCTCCTCCCTCTCCTCTCCTCTCCCAGGGTTCTCCTCCCTCTGCCCCCTGTGCAGATGAATCTCTGGGTAATAAGACGACTAAAGGGGCCACAGGCAGAGGCGGCAGGCGCTGGCCGGGGTGGGCGGGGACTCCCTGTGATGGGGACGCCGCCAGTTCCCCGGGAATCCGGAGAAGGAGGAGGGCGGAGAGAGACCGGGGCGGGCAGGCAGCCCTCCACCCCCTTTCCGCTGCCCACTGCCCTCCGTCTCCCCAGGCTCGCGTCATCTCCCTGCTACTGGTAACTGGTACCCGGCTGCTGGTACTGGGGTGTTTCGGTCTCGCAGGTGCAAGCGACCGAGATTTGTGCGCGCGCGTGTGTAAGCTCCCCGTGCATGTGCGTGAGCGCCCCGTGCGTGTGCGTGAGAGCCCCGTGCATGTGCGTGAGCGCCCCGTGCGTGTGCGTGAGAGCCCCGTGCGTGTGCGTGAGCGCCCCGTGCATGTGTGAACACCCCGTGCATAGCGCCCCGTGCATGTGTGAACACCCCGTGCATGTGCGTGAGCGCCCCGTGCATGTGTGAACACCCCGTGCGTGTGCGGCGTGAGAGCCCCGTGCATGTGCGTGAGCGCCCCGTGCATGTGTGAACGCCCCGTGCATGTGCGTGAGAGCCCCGTGCGTGTGCGTGAACGCCCCGTGCGTGTGTGAACGCCCCGTGCATGTGCGTGAGCGCCCCGTACGTGTGCGTGAGAGCCCCGTGCATGTGCGTGAGCGCCCCGTGCATGTGTGAGCGCCCCGTGCATGTGTGTGAGCTCCCCGTGCGTGTGCGTGAGAGCCCCGTGCGTGTGCGTGAGCGCCCCGTGCATGTGTGAACACCCCGTGCATGTGTGAACACCCCGTGCATGTGCGTGAGCGCCCCGTACGTGTGCGTGAGAGCCCCGTGCATGTGCGTGAGCGCCCTGTGCATGTGTGAGCGCCCCGTGCATGTGTGTGAGCTCCCCGTGCATGTGTGAACGCCCCGTGCGTGTGCGTGAGAGCCCCGTGCATGTGCGTGAGCGCCCCGTGCATGTGTGAACGCCCCGTGCATGTGCGTGAGCGCCCCGTGCATGTGCGTGAGCGCCCCGTGCATGTGCGTGAACGCCCCGTGCATGTGTATGAGCGCCCGAGTGTGCGCGAGTGTTTAGTGGGTGCGGCGGGGGAGACAGAAAAGAAGAAGGAAACTAGTAGGGCAGAAATCTTGGCTCAGAGCCTTGGAGAAGCCGCTCCGGCCCTGCGGCGCACTGAGGGGGCGGCCGGGAGAACATCGGCGGCGCGTTGCCCGCGGGTCGGAGCAGCGGGGAATTCCTTCGCGAAGTCGCGGAGCCACCGCCTGCGCTCGTCCGCTCCGACGGCTTTGGGCTCTCGCTCCTGCGGTTGGGTGAGGGTCTGGGGGCGGGATCCGCTGGCCGGAGGACAGGTTGCCGTGCCGGCTCTCTGCTCACCGCCCTGACGTTCTCTCCGGCAGCGCGTGGCCCAGGGCGGAGCCGCCATGGCCCGGCAGTGCGCCCTCCTGCGAAAGGCCCATCTCCGAGCAGCGCGGCCGCGAGGCAGGGGGCGGAGCGGAGCTGAAAGCTGCCAGGGCCCAGGGCCCTCCCCCTCCGATTCCTCCCTGCCTTGAGCAGACATGATTACACGAATCTATTCTTTAGTTCCGGTGAGTTGTAGAAAAGGCAGCTGCAGACATCGCCCTGCAAGGGGAGCGCTGCTGTCTGGAGAGGCCCGGCGGGTGTCCCCGGGGACGGGGCTGTTGAGGGCGGCCCTTCTCGCCCGGTGGCTACCTCTGGCTCCTCTGCCACGCAGCCGTCTGGGATCAACACCCCTGCGGCCAGGCCCTCGATGTCGTCTCTCTCAGGGGCAGACACAGCTCGATCAGCGCTGGGTAGTCCTAGCACCCAGCACAGGGGCTAAGTGAAAATTTATCGAGTGAGTGATGTCTGTAGCAAGAAAACTGGTTCATTAAGTTCTCAGTGAGAAAAATGCTTGTCACGGCGACTGTGCCCTGAGTCAATCCTCTCTCCTAGGCACAGCGACATGGAAGCTTAGTATCACGGCCTAGGGGGTCCTCTTGCCACAGAGACCGGCGTGCACACGGCCCACTGCCCAGGCAGCCTCCCCAGGGACAGTGTGTAGATTGGTCTTGCCAGGGTTTGCCTCCTGAATGCCCCTCACCTCTCTCTGTAGCGGGGTTGGTTACTCCATGTGGCTGCAGTAGGTCCTGACTAACCAAATCCCTCTGTCCCCTTAGGGGACTTAGCCCGTCTTGGTGCTCATGCATCATATATTGGTTGGTCTAATGGTTCAACACTGTGAGAAGAAAGTTCTCAGTGGTTAATTTCCCAGTTCTTGGGAGAGGTCTTGGCGGTGTAGTTATGAGATCCGGAAAACACACACTGTAGAAGCAGGTACTGAGCCCTGACAGGGGGCAGGGGCAGCAGTTGTCCTGGGGCAGCAGTTGCCTTTGGATAAAGTACGGACAGTGCTATTCCTTCCGCCTGGTGACAGGAGCCTGGCTGACTTTTAAAGCAAAACCTAGGGTGGTCTGGGAAATGTTGTTTTGCAAATATTCTCTCAGTGATGGGACATTAGACCAGGAGACAAAAAAGTTGTGTCCAGTTCTCAGCCTAGACCTGAAAAATGAGAAATTTGCAGATTCTAGTCCTGACTGGTTGTTGTCAACTTAGGGGAGCCTTAACTTTTCCATGCCCAAGTCTCCCAAAGAGCACCCACAGCATTTGAGGACAGGAGTCGCAATTGCAGAACCACTGTGGGAGCTTCGCAAGATGCTATGTGTGTCTTTCATTGTCTGGAAGTGGATGCGGGGGCTTGAAATCAGCGGCGGGTCTGCGTGCTGCGCTGTCAGAGCACCGCCCTCCTCTGTCCCCTCCACGGCTCTCTCGCCTTCTTTCGTCGGGCAGGAGGTAATTCGCCATTGAAGTTTTCTCTTTAGACTATGACACAGGAAATTATTTTTTCTCCTATTTATAGAAATTGCATTTGCATTTATGAGGCTGGTAATGTCTCATACATATTTCCTGTCAGATAAAATATTAATTAAAAGCGTTTGTTGAGTTATACTCTGAAATCCTAACTAAATCTCTTCTACAACAAATATTTTGAGTATTTTCTCTCATGTCAGGAGAATTCCTCATACATTACTTGTGCATGTTAATTAGCTCATCTATGAACAGCAGATTTCTATCAATTAATGAAATATCATTTTGCAACATTTAACAAATAATTGCGTAGCTGCCACCTGGTTTACAAAACAAAGCAAAACGTTGCCAGCACTGTTGACACTGGATTGCCTCCTCTTCCCTCAAGAGACAACCAACCGACAGCTTGAATGTGGTGTTTCCCTTTCCCGTGGGTTTGTTTGATGCTAAAACTCTCCGCACACGCACATGGACACACGCGCGTGCCCACGCCCAGCCAATCAGGGAATACCGGCCATATGTGAGGATTTCGTGTTTACAAGCCCTCGAGGTTGAGGAAGGCCGTTGTGTCTGAGATGCTGTGACAGGTGCTTTGAGGGAAACTGGAATGTATAATGTGGGCTTTGATCTCGAAGGCCTTACATCTGATGGGGAGGGTTGGCACTTGTGCAGGAGAAGTTAGCAGACAAATTAACACCTACGATTTTAATTCACAGGCGCTAATTGGACGGTGGTGGAACTGCCAGAAATGCTGACAAAGCCTGGGGACGAGGGGCTGAGCCAGGCCGGAGAGAAGGGCCTCCAAGCGAGCAAGCCGGGAGGAAGACCAGGGTTTGAACGTGCGAGTCCAGGACAGGCAGGCTCTGTGCTCAGGGACCAGCAGGAAGGCAAGAATGGCTACCGGGGTCGGGGGACACGGTGGCGACGGCAGTGGCTGTGGTTAATCGGGGGCCTGCTGTGTGCGCCGCTCTGCTGGGGGCTCCACATCAGCAACTGCCTGTGCTTTCCCGGCCTCGCGGCAGGGAGGGAGCACGGTCCCGCCTCTCAGATGAGGAAACGGCCAGACAGGTCAAGTGCCTCCCGCCGGCACGGCTACCAACAGTGGATTTCGGAGCTGCCGTGGGAACCTGGTCTTGTCAGATTCCCAAACCGTATTTCTAACTGTTACGGGCTCAGCTGTGTCTCCGCCAGATTTGTATGTGGAAGCCCTAATCCCAGTACCCCAGAATGTCACTGTATGTGGAGATGGAGCCTTTAAAGGGGCGATTAAATTAAAACGAGGCCGTTAGAGCGGGTCCTAATCCAGTCTGACTGCTGTCCTTATAGGCAGAGGAAGTTTGGACACACGGGAGACGGCAGGGGTGCGCAGGTGCAGAGCAAAGATCCTGAGAGGACAGAGAGGACGGTGTCTGCAAGCCCAGGAGAGGGGCCTCAGGAGAAACCAGCCCCGCTCACACCCTTGCCCTTGGACTTCTAACCTCCAGGACTGTGAGAGACGCATTTCTGTTGTTGAAGCCACCCAGGCTGTGGCATGTTGTCACGGCAGCCCTAGAAAAGGACAGGCCAACCACAGTGCCTCTCTGCCTCTCGGAGGGGCCTTGGTCCCAAGCTATGGGATTTGGACTTTTCTGCAGATTGGGAGTAATGACTGAAAATCTCTGAGTTGTGGAGAATTGCGAACGTCATTGTGAAGATTTTCCTGGGGTGTTTTGTGTGCTATTCATTTGTTCGTTTCAGTGAAGAACTATGGAGCGCCTGTTTTGTGACCTCCCGATTACAGGGGCCGTGCTTGTCTGGTTCACCTCCGAGCACCACTTGCTCCCGGTGCTGCTTGCGGCGTAGACGATGATCAGTAAATATTTTCAAATGAAAGAAAGGATATGCGGAAGGTTCTGGGGATAGACAAAATGACAAGAGGAACAGAGCTTGCCTTCAGGGAGCTTGCAGTCTGCTGAGGAAGGCAGTCAGTATGTGACGGTTTAGGCAGGGCAGAGAC